TGGGATGGTACGTGAGAGGGAAGTCGCCATTCGACACACATGTATTGTATCCGCAAGCCAAACGGCAAGTGACGAATCGTTCATGCTTACAGTATGCTCAACGCTGCTACCATTTCGACACAGACGTCGATTCCTATGAAGAATGTCCTCCATAACAACATGGTTGGATGTACAAAGTACAGCACACCCGACTTGGTCGATGAGTATTACCAATTGCTCATGAGAGTGAGTAGTTTTCTGCTTACAGTGGTGAGTCTTTCGAGCGGGATGCTCTGGGAATGGCTGGTGATGCCCAAGGGTTGTCAAATGCACCAGCAACATTTAAATCGTCTTGTGACGCAGTTGTTCTGTTCCATCGGGCGTATGCACAGACATACTATGACGATATCTTCTTCCACAGTCGTGCGGGGCAGTGGAGGACTGATGAGGAAAACCACGTTTGAGAGCGGTGCTCGAGAGCATACGTACTTATATGCTGTATGCTAATGCAGATAAGAGCATCTTCGGCGCGGAAAAAAACTCAGTTTAGGGTGCTTCATTGGAAAGTGTGGCCTTCTGACAGATCCCGCTAAGGTCAAGGCCACTGTGGACTAGCCGGTTTAAAAGAACCAAAACGACTTGCGCAAGTGGCTTGGCTTCGGAAGCTACCTGCACAAGTATAGCGAGAATTATGCGGAAAGGTACGAGCATAGTCGAATTTCCTTGAGAAAGATGCGAAAGGGTGGCAGTAGGACACTGAGCATCGGGAGGCTTTTGACGGTGTCAAAGACAGCCGCCTTCCTGCACCAATACTGGCGTTGCCAGACCCCGCTCGTACTTCTAGCTTCGTCCGTGGTGCTTTGGAAATTGCCAATTGCTGTGCACTGCTGCAAGCTGACGCCTAGGGGCAAGATGGGGTGATCGCGTTCGGTACTCTCCAGCTTAAGGCTGCTGAGACGAACTGCCAAGTCCACGACAAGGAATTACTGGCGATGAAGTATGTACTTGTCAAGTTCAGGGTGCACCTGCTCGGCTCAAAGCCGTTTGGGATCTTCCTAAATCATGCATCACTACGCACTACGACCCAGTCGCCTCACTTCTCGCAGAGGATGGCCGGCTGACTCTCGCTTTTCGCAGAATATAATTTGCCTGCACAAGTGAACGCGGAAGCGTTGGCGCCGGGGTGGCGCCCCACAGGCGCTTAACAACCCAGAAGCAGAATCAGCAGTTGCTTTTGGGCACGGATGGCAACCATCTCCGTTTCGAACTACACCAGGCGCTCCACCGTCGCACAAAGTGACGGCTAGAAGCCGTCTCAATAGAGTGCGATTGCCCTCAACGTGAGGCAGTCGCTGCACAAAGTGCTCCATTATCTTGAGGTCTTCCGCACAGCGGTGTTAGATTCACAGCTTCACACACAAATAACTTTGCACTGCTCAAGCTCAAGAAGATACTTAGAATATAATGTAGCAAATTAATTACAAGTATTTATTCGTTTTATCATCCATGATAACAGAACTCTGACTAGCAAATGCATGGCATCATTTCTTTCGTATTGGTTTCCAATCTGTTCCGTTCTCTGTTTCTCTACGAGGCATTCAAACAATTTGAAACGTGATTTGTTTCCTTCCGTCACTTTCAAGAGATGATTATCGTTTGCTATCACCTGTAGGCTTGGTTATTATATTCTCATCGAAGGTCAAGACGCGCCTCAATCTGCGTTGTTAGTTTAGCGGCAGTTTTTTCAGGGAATCAAAACATGCGGTAAATAAAAGTTTATTTTTTGTCTTGTAACTCTATGTGGCGTTAGCTAATGTGCCAGCACGCAGCAATCCTTTGGTGGTAACTACACCTTCTAAAGCCCCGTGGTCGCACACGAAACAGTGATCGCAACGCAGCATTGTAAAAATCATATGAAGATCATCTAATGGCGTATTACTTGAGATGGTCATAGCCATAGGACGGATAACGCATATACGCCCCTCAGTGATTTTCACGGCAGCGTTCAATTTCTCGGCCTTGGCACTGTCCCAACCTTCGTTTAGCAGCCCTAACATTTTTTCGTCGTCCATTAGGAACGGAACATTGCCACGTCCATTTCCAATCAGATGTGGTCTCTGAGTTGATAAAGCATTGTACGTAATATCGAACGATCCCATGCCATTAAAGCCACCTGTATTATCAGTTTGCGTATTCAGTGTAAATTTATCCTTCAGTGTGGCCCAAGAAAGCAACGGCGTATTTTTCTGAATAGTTTCACCCAAATCCATGTCTGCTCCAGTTAAGCCGTTCAACTCATAGTAATTTCTCACAAACCTTCGCAGCTGAGAACCGCTCACCACGCCGAGCAAGATCATCCTTGCTTCAGTATCAACAACTGGTATCTCGTGGTGTGGCAGTCTTTGGAGCGCGAGCAAAATTCGGGCGATGGTCGTGCGTTTCGTAATGTAAACTAAGCACGGCTCTGCAACATCACCTGCCGTCGCCGTCGAATCAAGATCGACAAGTGGCAGAAAAGGCATTCCATTAACAATCAACAGGGTGTCATACACGGACTTTTCCCGACCCAAGCTAGAAACTGCCATCGCAGCAAGAGATGCACAAAAAAGCGGAAGAATCATGGACATCGCCGCAGTAATTTCCAAGGTTATAACTGCAACCGAAATTGCTCGAGTGGCTGCGGTGCCGAATGCCGCAGCTCCAGCTAATGCGTAAGTACCGGGAATGACATTGAGTTCGGGAAAAATCTGTGCGACAAACTCTCCAAACATGCGGCCAAATGCAGCACCGGCGAGAAAGGTTGGCACCCAAATGCCAGTAGGAATCTTGAGTGTGATGCACAATGGCAGTAGGAACATGAACACCGCGGATAAAACGGAAAGTGCGTAGTACTTGGAGATCACTTGCCAAGCCGGTGGAAGTTCGCCATCCGTAAACAAAATGGCGAGGTCGTCCATCGAATTTGCTCTTGTATATTCACCAGGAACGTATGTAAGCACAGCAGTAAGTACCGACACAACGAATGGATCGATCCAGGTAACAAAAAAGTATTTCCATCGTTGGGAAGACTTTCGAAATGCACTCCTTCGCTCGGCAATTTTGCGCAGAAACCACATCATGGCAGTGGAGAGCAGACCCAAGATCATGCCAAGCAAAATATACAAAGGGATCTCCCAAATTGTAAACGGACGGATAGGAAAGTGCGTTTTCAACACTGCTTGTGTCGCAAGATTGGCTTCACTATTAGCCAGCACAAGTGTCAAGCGTAGCATCACTGCTCCTGATACGGCACTTATAAACGCTTTGATGTAATTTGACATGAGATAGTAGGTGGACGTCACCTCCATGCTAAAGAGAACACCTCCGATCGGTGACGAAAACAGTGAAGATACGCCTACAGCACAGGCTGCAGCCAGTAATTGAAGTCGGCCATTAAGGTGCACACTAAATCCTTTAAATATAGGCATCTTTAGCAAGTGGTGCGTGACGCTGGACATGATGTGAACGAAAGCTCCCTCAGTTCCTACAATTAATCCTGCACCAACAGCGCACACCAAGCCGGCAACTTTTACAAGAAAAGTTGAAAAGTCAAAATATCCAGGCAGGTACATTCGTGGATCAATCCCGGTCAGAATCGATTTCATTTGTGAGACTCCAGAACCAGCAGCAACTGGTGCGAGCTGAGTGAAGAAAAGCCCAAGACTTGAAAAGATGAGAGTGTGAGCAATCCAAACAATAAGTTTAAGTGTGTAATTTGGGGCCAGGCCCACAAGTGTTTCTCGTAATTCGATGAGGTAATTGTACAGCACTCGAATACCGTATATCATTGGTCCCCCGATGACACCTAGCAATATAAGAAAACTGTTTGCCTTCAACTGACGTCGATAGTATCGTAATTTGTTATGAGCTCGACTTCTCTCTCCTCCAAAGAGAGATACGCCTGAAATTGACTTCCTACCGCCATAGTCCCGAAAAGTCTCGAGATAGTCGGATCCATCACTTTCATCGCGATTGCATGCAACTTCGAGTTCGGTGGCGATCTCGTCTGTCAGTAAACCAGCAATAGAACTAACCTCACCGTTACCGGGCCCATTCAAGCTATAGCGAGCAGCACGTTGCTGAAATTCATGTAGACTACCGATCCGTCCAGTGCTTCGTTCATAGGATGGCAGCATTCTCTATGTCCCTTACGCTGCCTTGTCTTTTGCAGTGTGTCGTTTCCGCTTAAGCAACAGTCACTGCCCCGGCAGCACTTGCCCCTAATCTCACCTTGTCCGACTACGATCACGCCAGCGTACAATCCATTCGTGAATTTTATAATTTAATTTAATATACTCTTAATTCAGAGCTACTATCTCACCTTTTAGTCCGAATATGTTTCAGAGCCAGCTGACCCAATGAACTGGGCTAAATAGGAAGTCAACAATGCAGCCTTAGATATCCTCACATAAAATGGTAGCTAGCAAGCGTATGTCGTCAATCGCAACATAGAAATTGATATACTTTACAGCAACAGCATCAAGTCCAGCAAGTTGGAACAGCTCGACTTTTTCTATTCAGATGAAAGCCTTCAAATAGTCCAATCAACATAATTCTTACTATTATGCTCGTCAAGAAGCAAAAAGCTCTAAAACGTAATTAACTGGCTTCCTGCCTAACCACTTGATGCAAATTTAAATGCAGTGTTACCTTGTTTTAGAAGCATCGAAGTCTCTTTGCCGACGTACGTTTCAACATGTGTTCTGCGGCCCAGGTTGCACTATTTACGATGTCCCTATTTTTCTATTCTAAATCGCTCTATGAAACGGGTAATTTTGTGAGCTTACTACTCTTACACTTTTGGTCAAATTGTATTGAATTTATACTGTATATTAGCAAGAATTCACATTGCACTTTGGTGTAACTGTAAATATTCAGAAGTATCGAAGTATCGGTATTTATGAAGATGATGAAACTCCGTAAAGGAGCTGAGATCAAATTAGATGAGAAAAATGTATTACTACTTTAGATAGATATATACGTACTCTTAAACATATATACGTACTCTTAAAATACCAGAGCTAACAATAAAGCTGGAGGATCGAGGTTCAGCTCCTAGTGGAGCATATAAACCTTCGTGCGTTTTTTGACATGGACTTTACGAATCGAAGCTTCCACTACACAAAACGTACGACAGCCCCGTTGCACTTGTTTCATGTCCTCGGGGTAACTAAAGCAGCTTGATAAGCTGATGTCTGTTATTGGTCCCGATGGGTTAGAGACAAAAGGGTCGGATACGATGATCGCTCGCCGGGAGGCGTTCGCCAGTTATAAGATTCACCTTAGTGAGACAAATCAGAAGCGCCCCAACCAAGCGCCGGTAAAGAGCAGATAACGCATTGTGCAGCGGGGCTGCCGTAGCAAAACGCTTGAGGAAGCGTACTTTAGGTCACCGACCTTTCGTTCTATACTTAAAACAAGTATGAGTAAGAGGATCGCAATCCGCTTACCCAAGGCTAATTACTCTTCTGCTTAAAATTCAAAACTGATTTTTATTAATCTTAGATTCTAATTTTTAAAAGTTTAGATTTTTTTAAAAATACAATATTTATAGTAAAATCGATATATATATATATATGCATGACTACTGGCTACCTAACCCCTTACCGTATTCTTGTTTGGGTGTGGTCACACCATGCACATCTCGCGTGACACACACACCCCTGTTATCAGGGTTCTTGTAACCCCGTTACTTCCTCCCCATTCAAATTGAGAACATTTACGTTTCCAATTGATTATTGCCTCAACGAGGCTCGCGTGTCCGCTAGACACTGCAACTTATCGAAACGAATTCCGTGCTCAATGAGCCCTGTGTCATTGGCACCGAAATCTCCAAGTGTCGCTGGTTCTGACGGCGAGCACGGGCAGAGCCCAAATTCGTCTTCCGCACTCGGTGCAACGTCGGACAGTGCGTCCGCAGCACCGAGGGGTGTATATCCTAG